TTCAACAACCCGCTCGCTGCCTTTCAGATGTTGGAGGAAAGCATTGCTCAAGAGAAAGCCCGAGCGAAGAGAGCAATGGAGGACATGCAGAGGCAATTCCAAGAGCTGGAGATGCGCTCGGCCCGCCAGAATGAGGTGTGCGGCTCCAGGAGAGAGGCGGCTGGAGCCCATGTCCAGCTTGGGGTGGGAGTCCCCTGGAAATAAGCTCCAGGCCAAGGAGAGTGGTGGGGGGAGGGGGGTTGGGGGGACAGGGTAGAGGAGCTCATCCTTGGGTGGACCTGGCTCCTTCAGAAGCAGAGGGACTCAAGAGGACCTGGGGGGTGTAGCCTTGAAGAGAAGTTGGGAAGAAAGTGGCGAGCAGGGTGAAACCCAGCCACAAAGTTTGGGAGACAAGTTGGGCATGGTGACAGCAGCTGAAAGAAGAAGGGACAACCAAATCATGGGGCTTCTGGGCAGTGTGGATTCCCTGGCAACAGCCTTTGGCTCTACCAGCAAGGGGTTCCCACAGAGGGGGGCAATCCAGTTCAGGGGCGCGCCTGCCCGTTGGCCCAAAGTTCTTCTCCTAAGCTGATAGCGTTCTCCCTAGAAAAGCACCTGTCCTCTGGTTGGCCTCCCGGCTCCTGCAGGATGTAGCCACTCCCGTTTAAATCATTGCCTTTCCAAGGTTCAGAGACAGGTACCTGCTTGTGGACAAGGCCCCTGTGAGTTAGAATCAGCTCCCTGGCAGCAGGCTTGGTTTGGGGTTTTATTGTCATTGTCACTACTGCTTCTCCCTTGGTGGAGGCGTTTTGTATTCTCACGAGCCCCGCTTCACCCCCAGGGTGAATGGGTGGGCTCCCCACCTTGTTTATCCAGGCTCTGCAGCCCTCTGTAAACACTGTCCTGAGGCTAGCCCTGAGTTACATCTCCAGGGATGGGGACCAGAGGAGAGGCTGCCCGGGAGTCACCGGGGCCAAATGCCACAGAGGGGTCACCAGCATGGAGCTGAGAGATCCTTGAATTTAGAGATGCCAGGGCCACGGGGCACAGCAGCAGAGAGATTTAAGGACCGCTCGATTGCAGAGGGGGCCTGTGACCCGGTCACTTCAGGTCTGTGAGAAGGTCAGCGTCTGGTCTGTAGGCAACCCTCCCTCTGGTTTACACTTTTACACAGGGACTCGGCCCCTGTCACTCCAGCTGTAAGACTATGTCCCGCCTCAAGTGGTTATCAGCTCTTTTTCTTTATGAACCCTTCTGCTGCCAGGAAACAACGGGCCTGGAGTCGATTCCAACTCTTCTCAGCCCAGCAAAGGGCTTCTGAGCTGCGGAGAAAAGCCGCTAAGGGGGCTAGGACCCAGGGGCATGCAAAACAGCCAGCCCTGGTGGCTCCTGAAGCGGTGGGGAGTGGTTCAGGGATGTCCTGATTCTGGCAGGAGGTCAGAGGCTGGAAGGTAGCCTTAAGACCTACAAGGGCCTGGACGTCTCATTCACGATTTACAGGAAAATGTCTCACCTAACACGTCCCTCAAGCATTCAAAGTTAATATTACTCTCCCCCTCCCTTACCCTCACCTCCCCCCAGTCCTGACTCTCCTGCTTTGTTTAGGGCTGGCTTTGGAACTGCAGGGTGCTCTAGATTTTGCTTTCTGTGTTTCGTTTAACCACTTTTGTTCAAATATCTATATTCTTTCCGTCATATTATGGAATCCCCGGGCCGTGCAAATGATTAACGTGCTGAGCTGTTAACTGAAAGGCTGGAGGTT